TGTGTGTGTGTGTGTGTGTGGGTGTGGGTGGGTGGGTGGGTGTGGGTGTGGGTGGGTGTGTGAACATTTTACATTTCTCTTGAAGGGACTTTGGGACATCGAAGAATTCCGATTGAACATACCTAGTTCAAAAATTTTAGTGCATTATATTTTTTTTTAGATCAAAACTGAATGCAATTTTATATATATACACTCACCGGCCACTTTATTAGGTACCCCATGCTAGTAACGGGTTGGACCCCCTTTTGCCTTCAGAACTGCCTCAATTCTTCGTGGCATAGATTCAACAAGGTGCTGGAAGCATTCCTCAGGGACTTTGGTCCATATTGACATGATGGCATCACACAGTTGCCGCAGATTTGTCGGCTGCACATCCATGATGCGAATCTCCCGTTCCACCACATCCCAAAGATGCTCTATTGGGTTGAGATCTGGTGACTGTGGAGGCCATTTTAGTACAGTGAACTCATTGTCATGTTCAAGAAACCAATTTGAAATGATTAGAGCTTTGTGACATGGTGGAAGTAGCCATCAGAGGATGGGTACATGGTGGCCATAAAGGGATGGACATGGTCAGAAACAATGCTCAGGTAGGCCGTGGCATTTAAACGATGCCCAATTGGCACTAAGGGGCCTAAAGTGTGCCAGGAAAACATCCCCCACACCATTACACCACCACCACCAGCCTGCACAGTGGTAACAAGGCATGATGGTTCCATGTTCTCATTCTGTTTACGCCAAATTCTGACTCTAACATCTGAATGTCTCAACAGAAATCGAGACTCATCAGACCAGGCAACATTTTTCCAGTCTTCAACTGTTCAATTTTGGTGAGCTCTTGCAAATTGTAGCCTCTTTTTCCTATTTGTAGTGGAGATGAGTGGTACCCGGTGGAGTCTTCTGCTGTTGTAGCCCATCCGCCTCAAGGTTGTGCGTGTTGTGGCTTCACAAATGCTTTGCTGCATACCTCGGTTGTAACGAGTGGTTATTTCAGTCACTGTTGCCCTTCTATCAGCTCGAACCAGTCTGGCCATTCTCCTCTGACCTCTGGCATCAACAAGGCATTTCCGCCCACAGAACTGCCGCTCACTGGATGTTTTTTCTTTTTCGGACCATTCTCTGTAAACCCTAGAGATGGTTGTGCGTGAAAATCCCAGTAGATTAGCAGTTTCTGAAATACTCAGACCAGCCCTTCTGGCACCAACAATCATGCCACGTTCAAAGTCACTCAAATCAACTTTCTTCCCCATACTGATGCTCGGTTTGAACTGCAGGAGATTGTCTTGACCATGTCTACATGCCTAAATGCACTGAGTTGCCGCCATGTGATTGGCTGCTTAGAAATTAAGTGTTAACGAGCAGTTGGACAGGTGTACCTAATAAAGTGGCCGGTGAGTGTATATATCATTGTAAACCGAGGAAATCCCCTGGCACTGCTAACAGGTTAATGCCGTGCCCTTGAACGGCTGTCAGGTCTATTCTTCCCTGTGTAATTTCATCATGTTGGCTCTGATCTTCTTTCGTCTTCCTGTCATTCAGCTTGGGCCTCTGGAATGTTGTCTCCAGTGAGGAAACTTTAGACGTTAGTGAACAGAATGACTTGGAATAGCAAGCATGTAAGTCATAACTGGTGTGCTAAGAAAGGGCCTGTGTTTATGTTTGCTTGTTGTGCCCTTTGAGTGTGTCTTTCTTGCTAGTGTCATTTTTATTTATAAAATGATAGATCTAGCTCTGTAATTTGAATCGATGATTATCAAAGGCTACATAGATATATCCATTGCTTTAACCTCAAATTAAGGCACATGGTGATATTGTCTGATAATTTAATGCCTCTATAGAGTGCTAGAGTTATGACATATTTTTGCTAGTATTTTAATACATTTTGAAGCCTATACAGGAGTAAAAAGTTAAGAATAGGCTACAAACAAACATCGACACCATTAAGCTTCCACCAACTCTCATTCTTTATTAAAAAAAAAAACATTTTCCCAGGAAATTTGAGAGAATAATTTGCAAGAGCACAATTATAAACAAAACGAGGCTATAAAAGTGGACTAGTGAGTAGATGAGTTTTCATGTGCGCTGGGATGACGTTTAATATTCTCAACAACCTCTATTGTTCAATTTAGCCACCTGTTTAGTAAAAGCTTTATGATATTAGCCAACTGTCAGTTTAGTAAAAATGTGTTTCTTGAACTAGTGTTATCTACAGACCTTGTTCCAGGCGTTTAGTCAAAAACTCTTAAAAAAAATAAACATTGACTTCAGGATGATGGAACCAGAAGTGCTAAAATACTAACTCGTTTCTGGGTTTTGCCTACAAAAAAACGTTATCCCTGTAGCACTCTATTGGCCTCTATCAGAGCCTTATCACCAATGACAGATGTCTATTTTAGTCCCTCCCCCTTCACCCCAGATTCACTGCTTGAATCAAAAGCCTGCTTGATTTTGAATCCTCTCGCCTCTCATAGTCACTAGCACAGGGTCATAATGACATACATAAATCTTACCTGTCAAAGGCCGCTTCTAACCTTTCAAAGTCAGCTACAATGTCCCGGGTTCAATACAATTTATTTCAGAACCAAGAAAAATGCACTATCGACAGTATCTGTCAAGTACTACTGTGTATCATTTGAAATCATTATGTTCTTAGTGTTCTCATGTCTGTAATTCTATAATAATGTCTGTATCCTTTATGTTCCTTTCAATTTAGAGTTGTAAATCTGAGCAAAATGCCAATGCAGGTTTATTTTGGAAAAAAATTAGAGGAAAAGGATGGAGGGTGGAGAGGAGAGAGGTGCAGGAGTTTCTCACACTTGTTTACCACTCCCTCTCTTCCTGCTTTTCTTTCTGTGGTACAGCTCAGACTGTGGCTTCGTGACAGGGAAATGAGCTGTACACGAGTCAAGCAGAACACTAAAGCGCGAACGCGCACACACACACACACACACACTCTATTAGCTGGGTTGTGTGCTTCTTTTGTCTGTCTCAGTGGGGGAAGCACATTCAGCAATGTGGACTGTAGGCAAAATGGAACAGATCAGACCACAGTCCTGTACAATAGCCTTCCCTCTGGTCACAAAGACCTAATTTTTTAAAATATTTTTATGGAATTATACTTGAATAAAATATAAATAAAATTGTTGTGTTTGTGTTAACCAAAAAGAAAATTCTCTCAGCTCATGAAGTCATTTAGAACCCAAATGTAATTTGCATTGATATTAAACAATGCTTTAACTGGTTCAACTGATTTCTTTAAAGTGTCTCTATTGTGCGTTTTCAAATATTACCTTTCATGTAGTGTGTAATTTAGCTGTAGGTAAATGTAAAAGGTCTGCAAAGTTTTAATAATCAAAGTGCACGGCAAACAAAGTTATTGTCTCCTAAAAGAAAGAATCAATTGTGGAGTTGTCAGGAATTCCAGTCTCACTTCCTGTTACATACTTGCATAACAATGTAACACATTTGCATAATGCCTGCCTATGATTGGCTGCCTGTGAATAACGTCTGCTTTGACCCGCCCTCCAACACTGTAGTTGTAGCTGAGGCCTGGAAGAGCTTTGTTCGTGTTGTCGACATGTTGAGAAGACGCTGTTTTTAGCACTGTGAATCCTCTTTGCATCTTCTTCAAAAGGATGAAGACTCGCTCTGGAATTGATACAGAAAAAAACTTCACCATCGTTACTGTTTGTATCACTGTTAAAACAAGCGCTAAGGAAGCCTCTGGAGCTGAAATTCAGATAGTAGCAGATGCTTTGTTAAGACTTCAGTGCTCACAAATTTAAGTGTAAATGTGTTTTTTACAGCAGTAGCTGCCTCTGGGGCTAGCCAAACGCTTTTGGATGTTGACCCCGAGACCTCATTCAATAGGCTCCATTTTTTAAATAACAAATCTTATGTGCATCTGTGTTTGTGTTTCCACCACCTTTTACAACACAATATGCTTCTTTAACCTTTTCCATCTGCCATTTCCTCACTTCCGATGATCACCCGTAAAGTTGTTTTTGCACAAGAGTTGCCGCAAGCTCTAAACTGTGTTGAACGGAAAGGAAATTTCTTTTCTTTCTTTCTTTTTTTAAAATTGTCAAATGAGCTGAAACCATCAGGCGTAAACAACTCACTTTTAATTTGTCACTATTCTTCTCAATTACCAGTAATCCCTCCATTTTTCTTTTGTCGCATATGTGCATACCCCCAGTGTATTTATTAGTTGTCTTATTCTTTGTTTCTCTGAGAATATGCGTTCTTTGGTTCATGTGGAGTCCTTCAATAACAGGTTTTGCAAGGTTGGACTCGGCCATGTTGCAAAGTTGCGTCAGTGTTTTTCTTAAACTCTTTGCATTGAACTTAGTGAATATATTCAATATTTGGCCCAGTATTTGCAGCATGTGGCTGTATTTTGTGGCTGTTATTATTATGATAATAATATTGCTGTCATTTACATGAAATGAAAACTTTCTCAATACAGATTCAATTGGCTAAACTACATTACCATACAAAATACAGCCTCTATTCATACAAATAAGCAAACAAATCCATAAATAAATATATAAATAGTTGCAGATGAATTACTGTCCTTAGTGCAGAATAATCTTTAATGGAATTCTAATCTGCTCTGCATTTCACATTCTAGTGGCACTGGCTCAGACGTCATTCTGTTAGAAAGTTCTCAATTGTTGTTAGTGTGTCTCTCAGTTCTCAATCTCATTTATATGTAGATGTATGTGAGTTTTGGGTATTTGCCATTAATATATGCTGATGAGGGAGACCTAGGTACTTTTGTACTGTCTGTCTAAATTAGCTGTGAAGCAGATTTGTCATCTCACAAACAGAGGGAAAGGGGAGCAAATCAAAAGCTGTAAATCTGTTTTGTTTTTCTGTATTATCGATCCTGAGTGCTGGGATTGGATGTTAGGACTCTAAGATAATGGGGCTTTTAGGAGTATGTTGAATTTTTTATGCGCATGATACAATGCTGTTCCTCTCCCACCTCTTGACAGGATGACAACTGGGGTGAGACCACCACAGCGGTCACTGGAACATCAGACCACAGCTTGTCTCAAGAGGACTTGGCTGGCTTTGGGAAGGAGACGGATGGTCCAGTAGAGAAATTGAACTGTATACGCTTTCTTCCTTTGGCCCTCACCCTCCTCCTGGGCCTGCTGGTCCTGGTCACCCCCCTGTCCTTCCTGGTGCTGCCCCAGGTTCTGTGGCCAGAGCGCCTTCAGGCTTGTGGTACTGCCTGTGAGGGCCTGTTTCTCTCTCTGGCTTTCAAGCTCCTCATTCTCTTGCTGGCTGGCTGGGCACTGTTTGTGCGACCGACGCGAGCCTCCCTGCCCCGGATAGCAGTGTTCCGCGCCCTGCTGGGGTTGCTCACGCTCCTCCTGCTGCTCTCCTATTGGCTGTTCTTTGGAGTGCGCATCTTGGACTCACAGGTATGGGCAAATGTGTGTGGGCACCATAAAGAGTCAAGAGAAACATGTTGAGATCTGTGGAATAGCATTTGTTTAACGTTTCTTTTAATAATATTGTTAGTTCCAGCAATAATATCTTATTGGATGAGCCATGTTCAAAACTACATATAAAATTATAAATGTACACCTGTGAGTGACCATGGATCATTGTTTTTGCAATTCCATTTGATGATGCTAGTGGCACTGAAATTACACACTTCAATTGTAACTTACATTTAGGCTAATGACTTCAATGTTACTTAGTATTATTATCATCAGCAATAGGGTTAAATTGGAATTTTCGCTAAAATTATGTAATTATTTGTAATTTCATGTTCCTCATAAATCTTGTATATAAGCCTCAGTAGCATTTAATTATTGGTCTGTATCTACAAGTTCAGAAAAAAAAGATTTTTTTATTGAATATGTAAATGTGAAAGTGAACTAATGAACTAATTTGAAGCATTTAAGCAATTGTGTATAATCAAATTATTAATTTGATTATACATTGGTTTATTGCTTTACTTTGTGTGCTTGACAGGAAGAGAACTACCACGGCATAGTGCAGTTTGCAGTATCATTGGTGGATGCTCTGCTGTTTATCCATTACCTGGCAGTGGTTCTGCTGGAGATCCGGCATCTGCAGCCCTGCTTTTCGCTCTGTGTTGTACGCTCCACTGATGGAGAGACTCACCATTACAACCTGGGACAACTCAGGTGCCAGCTGATGACCAAAACATTGAATAAAATAACTACAATATGCTCTTTAACTGTCTGTTACATGCTCTTTAGTTAAAACGCTAAATAAATAGGAACTCACTAGTCACACTTCAAAATAAAGTTTCCAATTAGAACCAAAAATTTCTACAGAGCCAAAATGTTTAACATAGTTAACTAGTTCTTTAGAAAACCATCTATGTAAATATGTGTCCAAGAGCTTAGAAACAATTAAGCAGATCAAAGGATCCCTTTCCAGTGAATTTATTTTTTAGAAGTGGGTTCTTCATTGAAACCCGAGAACTATTGAAGACCCTTTATTTTTAATAGTGTTCTTTGTATCAAATCGGCAAACCAACTATGTATATTAACATGTAAATAATGTTTTGCCTCTGTAATTGCACTGATTTTATGGCTGATTTTTGTCTGTATACACAAAATTGTGTGTGTGTGTGTGTGCACTGTTTAATGCATTAATAATGAGTTGAGGTTGGGCCAAGGGAAAAGGGTCCATTAATCACCCCATTACAGACACTCCCTACTTTGCCCTGCGTTACTTCCCCTCTCCCTTCCTCTCTCCTGCCCAACGCTTTCCTTTGTTCTTGCTCTCATTGTTTCATTGGTTGGACATTTTTGATCCAGCGCTACTGCAGTCAAGTGTCAGCACACACACAATAGTAGAGTGAAATCTATTAGTATCTGACGTCTGTTTAATAAAATATATTATGGAATTGTCTGTTCCTGTGTTTTAAGAGACCCCTAAATCCCTATTACCAATAAAAAAATAAAAAAAATATTTTGTTGAATGATCTGTCTGTCTCTCTCTCTCTCTCCCTCTGTAGCATCCAGCGGGCAGCCCTGGTAATTCTTGAACACTATTATAAGGATTTCTCAGTTCACAACCCTGCCCTGCTGACGGCTGCTAAGTCCAGGGCAGCTAAACATCTGGCTGGGCTGAAAGTCTATAATGTTGATGGTGAGTTTAATCTGTCCAGAATCACTGTCTGTTTTCTGACTTGATGCTTATTGTTCTCTTGACCAAGATATTCTGAATGATTCATTTTGGAATGCTTATAGGAAAGGCATCAAAATTGAGATATCCTTAATATATCAAATGTGTCTACTAGATAGCAATGAGAGCCAATGTCTCCTGCTTCACAGGTTATTGTTCTGAGTATTAGACTCTAGTAATGCAACATGTCTCCTAAGAGTTTTAGAAAAAATCTGTCATTTCAACATGAAACATTCTCATGTTCTTACAACATCAAATTATCTGAGAAATGCTATCCACATGAAATGTAAATGCCATTTTAAAAGCATGCATTGAATCATAATTCATTCGTATTACATTCGTAATCCATATTAACATGACAAATATGTTTTTACAGCATTTATTATCCTTTGTTAATATAAAAATAAAGGTTCATGTTATTTCACAATGCATAAACTTGTTAACAGAATTTTAGTAAATGTCGAAATTAACATGAACTAAGATTAATAAATGCTGTAGAAGTATTGTTCATTGTTAGTTCATGTTATCTGATGTAGTTGACTAATGTTAACAAATAAAACGAATGAAACGTGTTACTGAATTACTTACAGTATACACATAAAAGAGCATTATATCTAAAATCTATTTTGATTATCTTTTTTTATTTTTAAAGTGAATATATTTTATATTTAAAGAAACTTATTTGTTTTGTACGGAGCCCCTAAAAGGACATGGTTGTGGGGAAAAAAATAATGTGAGGGAAAATAAGTCAATGCTTATGCGTCCTCTCACAAATGTTTTGCGTTTGCTTGCCAATCCTTTGCGTTCCCCTGAGAAACTTTGCCTCCCCCCGAGGAACTTCGTGTTTGCTCACAAAACCTTTTGAGCTCTTTACAAGCGAACGCAAAGTTTCTCGGTGGAACACCAACGTTTTTGCGAGGAAATGCAAAACATTTGCAAGAGAATGCAAAAGCATTGACAAAAACATTTTCCTCCATCTCATATTTCTTTCCTTCACCATGTCACTTTAGGGGCTCTGTAGTTTTGTATATGACAACCTTTGCTCTTCACCACTCATACCAACAATTGTCTCATTTGTATCTATTTGTATCCCTCATGAGGAATTTTAATAGAAACATTTGAGACTAAGTTGATACTTGCTGGGGATCAAGATAGACAACCGTTTAAATGGTCACTCACATCCTACAATTGGTTGTGTGAACTTAGTCCCCTGAGCTGTGAAAGAGCAACTTCTGAGCAAAAATTTTGTCTTGAACTTGGACTAAAAAACAAACACTCATGCACACTTCTAATACAGATACGTGGCCGTGTAAATCGCCACCAACATCTAATAAATCTTCTGTGATTGTTTCTTTCTGCAGAGTTTAAAGCCAAACTGAAAAGCTATCTGTTCGATTGTAAGTTCGGACCGTGTAATGCATTCAAAAATCCTTTCACAGAAACAATGAATTGTCAAGTGCTCCACATGTCTTGGTTATTTGCTTGTGCATGCAGTCATTGTACACCGTGCACAAGGTCACAGACTCATCCAAAATACAATCGAGAAATGCATTGAGAAATCCTTCTACATGTCTCAATTGCCATGAAGAAGACCCTCATCTCTGCACTTACTATGCTGTAAAAAAAAAAAAAAAAAAAAAAAATGTAAATAACTACTTTCTCACCCCAGATCTCAAACACACCCAGTCTCTCTCTCCACTGTTTGACATTTATGATGTGCTGTCAGCACAAGAAATACACACACCATGATCCAGAGATGCATACTTGGGATCAAGATACCCCCTTAAGCACTCAAGCCTTCTTCATGCCTGTGGCTATCGAACCAGGCCAGGAATGTGTGTGTATGAGTGTGAGTGTGCACGTATATAAAAAACAGCAGTGCGTAGCTCTTTTTGTGCTTTGCACGGATTGCCAGGGTATTAATAATGCATCACTAGGAAAAAAGATTCTCCCCTGAAAAAAAATTCCACATCTCCTTTTCCCCAGGTTTGAAAGCCTTCTGAATACACTTAACTTGTTTTTGTCTGTGGGTATAATTATTGTTGTATCTTATTTCTCGTAAGGGTCCTCCTTGGTGTTTGTTTATGTATTTTTTTTTTTGTCTTTGTCATGTTATTCACAAAAATCCACTGAGGAAGATTTAGTATATGTGATTTCTGGAGGTGATTCATTGAGTTATAGTACGGATCACAGACCTACCCTACTACAGAGGAGAGTCATGCTGCCCTTGTCATGCATTATTAACCATATCTGTGACCTGAATATGGATAAATAAGCATAAATTATTCTGTTCACCACATTACTATGCACACTCAGCTAATATGCATTACGTATAATCATTATAACCTGATTCCACATAAAGATTTACTTGACTGCCAGTGGGCTTTTTGCAGTAGATAAACAATACCGTTAAAGGGGTGGTATAATGCCCTTTTCACAAGATGTAAAATAAGTCTTTGATGTCCCCAGAGTGTGTATGTGAAGTTTTAGCTCAAAATAACCCACAGATATTTTTATATAGCATGTTAAAATTGTCACTTTTCGAGGGTTAGCAAAAACACTCCGGTTTTGTGTCTGTCCCTTTAAATGCAAATGAGCTACTGCTCGCAGAACAGAGGGCGGAGCTTCGACAGCTCGTATCCTTTTACCTCACACAGACATGCACTGAAAATTTCAAAAACTTTTAGCCTTTTATGTTCAAACCGGAGTCAGACAAAGATGGAGAGACTCAAAAAGAAGTGACAACATGTAGAATGCAAGTTATGCAACTGGACATTTCTGAATGGTTAGTTGAAGAATTTATGCAGCTGATGTGGAGTTAACTATCTTCTAGTCATTGATTAGCATATTCTGTCATGATAATCTATAAATCATGTTCTGGCCGGGTTTAAGTAAATTTTAGGGTTAGTGATGTCACTAACCTGGGAGGAATGTTGTGTAGTCCCTATCAGCCCTTTGTTGTAGTCCTTAAAAAACGATTTTTTTAAAAGCAAATATCTACCTTTGCTGAGTTTGAACTTTGAGCGTTAGAACTTTGCAGATGTTGTTTATGCTCAAACAACAACCTTACACACTAACTAAAGTCAGAAAAGTGAAATCATTATCAACCACCCATTTAAAAAGTTTGGGGTCGTTTTTTTTAATGTTTTTGAAAGAAGTTATATAAACGGGAATAATAACTGTTTTCTATTTTAATATGTTTTGAAATGTAATTGTAATGGCAAATCTGAATTTTCAGCATCATTACTCCAGTCTTTAGGGTCGCATGATGAAATTATTATAATATGATGATTTGCTGCACAAGAAACATTTCTTAATACCAATGTTGTAAACATTTGTGCTGTTTAATTGTTTTGAACAAACCACAATGTTTTTATTCTTTAATTAATAGAAAGAAAAGCATTTATTTCAAACAGAAATGATCTTTTGTAACATTATAAATGTCTTGACTGTTACTTTTGATCTATTTAATGCTTCCTTGCTGAATAAAAATATTAATTTCACACTGACCCCAATCTTTTTATGGTAGTGATGACCTGTCGCCTGATGGAAAATAAACTGAATGATGACTGGATGTAAAAAAAAAAAAAAAACAATTGTGATTAGATTGGTGATTTAAGTTAACCTAACATTACTGACATCTTTTTTTGTTTGTTTCTGTCATCAATATTGTCAAACAAGGAAACTGTTTGGTCTTTTAGTGTAATATTGAGACTGTTTAAAAAAATCCTCACGAAAGTGCTTTTAAATTATTAAAGCTGTTAAATTACAATCTATATGCTAATCTGCAACAGTATCAAGGCATGTCCAAGTTTGATAGGAATTTGCATGGCATCAGAAGGATAACTTTTGGTAACACTATAAAAGCTTAACAGAGTTAGCAATGGGTCAGTTTGTGAAAGGTATCTGTTTTTCTTGTTATATGGAACAATGTCAAGATGAATTTTAGTCGTTTTTTAGTATATTGAATTGTACTTGCATCTGTTCTCTCTCTCTCATAATGTTGATTTTTGTCTTTTCAGGTGCTGGAAGCGATGCTGCAACAGCTCAGTCTCGAGCTAAAATAGCAGCTGCCGCTCGACAGAGAGACACCAGCCACAATGAGCTGTATTACGAGGAAGCTGAGCATGATCGAAGAGTCCGAAAGCGCAAAGCACGGTAAGAGAAACAATAGAGTGGCAGAGTTTGTGGAACAAGAAGTATGAAAGTGATACCAGAGCATGCAGTTAAATTGTGATATACAGTAAAGATATTTAAAATAGAGTTGTAGTTTTAATGAAACTACTGCAACTTAATATGCAACGTTTTCCAGGCTAGTGGTGGCCGTAGAGGAGGCGTTCACACATGTTAGACGGCTGCAGGAGGAGGAGAAAAAGAAGCCGCCGGGAGATGAGATGGATCCACGTGAGGCAGCACAGGCCATCTTCCCATCCATGGCTCGAGCACTGCAGAAATACCTGCGCACCACCCGCCAGCAGCACTGCCACAGCATGGACAGCATTCAGGCCCACCTGGCGTTCTGCATTACAAACAACATGACCCCAAAGGTGAGACATACTGTACACAGACACGCTTTCTCACAAAAGTGGGTGACATTAATCTAGACTTCTCCCATTTGACACCACCAAATGTCTGTCACAGGAGCCATGAGCACTTGCGCACAATCGATATGAGCGAGAGGGTTGTATTGATTTTAAGTCATTCACATCTGTGTAAATGGGCAGATGTTAATGACTTTATAAGTTATAACAACAACATACACTTAGGGTGCTTTCACACCTGGATCGATTTGTTTTGTTCCGGAACAGATCCGAAACAGAATACTTTGTTCCGAATCAATTTAATACGTCACTCTGTTCACACCACACTGTTGTAAAGCGCTCCAAATCGCGCACCCTTCCAGGGCTTTCCTTACGCCATTACGTCACTACCTCATGCGTGCAGGTCGCGCATTCCATTGTGGGACATCGCCATGACAACAATAGCCTAACACAAAACGAATCGCGGGTTGACTTGGTGCTACGAAGAGGTGAAATGCCTCATAGATATTTGGTCGGAAGAACACATCTCCCGGATGTTGGACACTACACACAAGAACACCGAAGTGTACAAGAAGATCAGCTATAAAATGAAGGAGAGGGGTTATGAACGGTCCGTCGAGCAGTGCCGCGCAAAGGCGAAAAAACTCTGACAGCAGTAAGTTAGCTACATTCTCAAGGTCGGACATCCGGGACTTTTACTCCCATAATGCACTGCGCGCGCATAGCAACGCGGCGAAGGGTAAAACAAACAAGCGCCCCCCATTAAGCAACACGTGAATATAGGGAATGCACATACCATTTTACTTTAAATCTAAATAGAAATGTAATCTCAAATGAATGGACAAATTGAGGGACAAATCAAAGAATAACAAAATAATACCACTGCAGAGATGGCCACTCAATTTTCTGTTGCTATGTTATGACATTGCTATGCATAATGGTCGGCAGCTCTACACTGAAAAGCAACAATGAAATGCACTAACGTTAGTTGTGTGGGGAATAAGATACATTTATGCAGTTAGCCTTTTTTGGCTTTTTGAAAAAACTGTGTCCCTCACTGACATTGTACAAGCTGTGCCACTGACAGACTGTTTTCATTACAGCCACTTTGTAACAGTGCTTTTGAATGAACTGTTTTTTTTTTTTTTTTTTTTTTTTTTTTTTTTTTTATGAATAAAAAATCGATTACATAGTTAATGTAATCGATGCTTGATGGGTATTTAAACATGACAGCAAGTGTAGGACACATGGTGTTTATACCAGGGGATTTGATGAGGTAATTATATATGTCTGGATACTCGAGCCTGGGCCATGCTTTTGGGTTGTTCTCCCAGGACTCAGCAGGATGCCGATAGGGACAAGATTGTAAACCTTCAAGCGCAAGCTTTCTGTGGTACCTGGTCAATACAGGCGCTAGGAGACTGTCTATATATTGATAAGACATTCTGTAATAGAAGAAGATCTGTATTCATTTGCTAGCTGCTAGCGCCTTTCACAGACATGTGACGTTAGCTAGTCACAAAGCGCTTTACATGAGTGTTTTATTAACGTTACATTCACTTCTCACCACCGACATACATTCGCATACACAAATATCATTCATCATTAATACAAAGTAGTCCGTTAGTATCCATAACTGACATAATCCACAGCAAAACTTCTGTGAATAGATACCTTTTTGATTTGTCTCGGGCTTTGCCTTCGGTTTGTTTTACCCTTCGCGGCTGGTTGCTATGCAGGTCACATGATTTGTGACGTAACGGCAACCAAGAGAATAAGGTACGAGACCACCTTAACCACAACAACATACCGCAACAAATCAGCAAAATACGCTGCCGAAGCTCCATGTTGACAAGCGATCTATTGGCGTCTGTTTGCCAGGCAACACATTGATTTGTTCCGGTTCGTGGGTCGGTTGTGTTCTCACTACAAACGAACCGCTCCAGGGTTCGTATGGAATCGAGCCGAGACCACCTCTTCTAGGCGGTCTCGGCTCGGTTGTTTTGTTCCGATTCAGAGTGCGATTGTTGTGTTCACATATGACCAAACGAACCGGGCCAAAAGCGAAACGCCCCTTTGTTTCGGAACAACGTCTCCAATCGATCCAGGTGTGAAAGCACCCTTAGTGCATTGTAGCACTAATTGTAACCTCACATTTAAACTAAATATTTAGCTCTGATCAGGAATAACATTTGGAAAGAAATAGAATATTTTTTTAATGAGAGCAGTAGTATGCAAATTTATCTGCAGCACGAATCATTTATGAATGAATCATATAAAATTCACCAGGTACTATATTTTCAGCAATTTGTGGATTTTTAATTGCCCTGTGTTATTATATGAACCAGTTGTGCATGCCTGGTTTCAAAACAAAAAATATAAATTAAATAATTTAGTTTAAATTATGTAAGAACTTTTTTGGAAAAAAAATTTGATTTACAATTAATTTTACCTACATTTCCTTAATAATAAATATACACTCACCGGCCACTTTATTAGGTACCCCATGCTAGTAACGGGTTGGACCCCCTTTTGCCTTCAGAACTGCCTCAATTCTTCGTGGCATAGATTCAACAAGGTGCTGGAAGCATTCCTCAGGGAGTTTGGTCCATATTGACATGATGGCATCACACAGTTGCCGCAGATTTGTCGGCTGCACATCCATGATGCGAATCTCCCGTTCCACCACATCCCAAAGATGCTCTATTGGGTTGAGATCTGGTGACTGTGGAGGCCATTTTAGTACAGTGAACTCATTGTCATGTTCAAGAAACCAATTTGAAATGATTAGAGCTTTGTGACATGGTGGAAGTAGCCATCAGAGGATGGGTACATGGTGGCCATAAAGGGATGGACATGGTCAGAAACAATGCTCAGGTAGGCCGTGGCATTTAAACGATGCCCAATTGGCACTAAGGGGCCTAAAGTGTGCCAGGAAAACATCCCCCACACCATGACACCACCACCACCAGCCTGCACAGTGGTAACAAGGCATGATGGTTCCATGTTCTCATTCTGTTTACGCCAAATTCTGACTCTAACATCTGAATGTCTCAACAGAAATCGAGACTCATCAGACCAGGCAACATTTTTCCAGTCTTCAACTGTTCAATTTTGGTGAGCTCTTGCAAATTGTAGCCTCTTTTTCCTATTTGTAGTGGAGATGAGTGGTACCCGGTGGAGTCTTCTGCTGTTGTAGCCCATCCGCCTCAAGGTTGTGCGTGTTGTGGCTTCACAAATGCTTTGCTGCATACCTCGGTTGTAACGAGTGGTTATTTCAGTCACTGTTGCCCTTCTATCAGCTCGAACCAGTCTGGCCATTCTCCTCTGACCTCTGGCATCAACAAGGCATTTCCGCCCACAGAACTGCCGCTCACTGGATGTTTTTTCTTTTTCGGACCATTCTCTGTAAACCCTAGAGATGGTTGTGCGTGAAAATCCCAGTAGATTAGCAGTTTCTGAAATACTCAGACCAGCCCTTCTGGCACCAACAATCATGCCACGTTCAAAGTCACTCAAATCAACTTTCTTCCCCATACTGATGCTCGGTTTGAACTGCAGGAGATTGTCTTGACCATGTCTACATGCCTAAATGCACTGAGTTGCCGCCATGTGATTGGCTGCTTAGAAATTAAGTGTTAACGAGCAGTTGGACAGGTGTACCTAATAAAGTGGCCGGTGAGTGTATATATATATATATATACACTCACCGGCCACTTTATTAGGTACCCCATGCTAGTAACGGGTTGGACCCCCTTTTGCCTTCAGAACTGCCTCAATTCTTCGTGGCATAGATTCAACAAGGTGCTGGAAGCATTCCTCAGGGAGTTTGGTCCATATTGACATGATGGCATCACACAGTTGCCGCAGATTTGTCGGCTGCACATCCATGATGCGAATCTCCCGTTCCACCACATCCCAAAGATGCTCTATTGGGTTGAGATCTGGTGACTGTGGAGGCCATTTTAGTACAGTGAACTCATTGTCATCTTCAAGAAACCAATTTGAAATGATTAGAGCTTTGTGACATGGTGGAAGTAGCCATCAGAGGATGGGTACATGGTGGCCATAAAGGGATGGACATGGTCAGAAACAATGCTCAGGTAGGCCGTGGCATTTAAACGATGCCCAATTGGCACTAAGGGGCCTAAAGTGTGCCAGGAAAACATCCCCCACACCATTACACCACCACCACCAGCCTGCACAGTGGTAACAAGGCATGATGGTTCCATGTTCTCATTCCGTTTACGCCAAATTCTGACTCTAACATCTGAATGTCTCAACAGAAATCGAGACTCATCAGACCAGGCAACATTTTTCCAGTCTTCAACTGTTCAATTTTGGTGAGCTCTTGCAAATTGTAGCCTCTTTTTCCTATTTGTAGTGGAGATGAGTGGTACCCGGTGGAGTCTTCTGCTGTTGTAGCCCATCCGCCTCAAGGTTGTGCGTGTTGTGGCTTCACAAATGCTTTGCTGCATACCTCGGTTGTAACGAGTGGTTATTTCAGTCACTGTTGCCCTTCTATCAGCTCGAACCAGTCTGGCCATTCTCCTCTGACCTCTGGCATCAACAAGGCATTTCCGCCCACAGAACTGCCGCTCACTGGATGTTTTTTCTTTTTCGGACCATTCTCTGTAAACCCTAGAGATGGTTGTGCGTGAGAATCCCAGTAGATTAGCAGTTTCTGAAATACTCAGACCAGCCCTTCTGGCACCAACAATCATGCCACGTTTAAAGTCACTCAAATCAACTTTCTTCCCCATACTGATGCTCGGTTTGAACTGCAGGAGATTGTCTTGACCATGTCTACATGCCTAAATGCACTGAGTTGCCGCCATGTGATTGGCTGCTTAGAAATTAAGTGTTAACGAGCAGTTGGACAGGTGTACCTAATAAAGTGGCCGGTGAGTGTATATATATATACTATTTATTTTATGCAAGTGGCAACCTTCCTGTCTCTCTCTTGAAAATCAAGCATAGCGTCAGTTCTGGCAGGTCACGTTAGTCAGACTCTCAGCTGATCCACGTCTATCTATAGGAATATGACGCCTATCACACCTGTATACATATATAAGCTCCTTCAGTATTATCAGCAGCTATCACGTTTCTCAGGAGCCAATTACCCTCCTCCATCCCCAGCTCCTCCTCTCGTCCAGTCAGGATTTGGCATTCTGATTCCCCTTGAATCAGAATAAATTTTTTGTACATTAAAATATTGACACCAATGATATCTGCATACATTCATGTTGGTTCTGTTCCGTTTACCCTAAGGGGGGTTATTGCTGCTCTCCCTGCTCTTATCCATGCTAGGCTGCAATCCAATAAATGTTTGAAACTTCAACCGCAGTTAAAACTAACACACTCAAAAGAGAAGTGACAACCGTATTACCGTATTTGCAGTATGTACGTCAGTTATGTAATTTTTTTACATTTGTTATTGGTCTTTTCTTTCTCAATTAAACTGATCTGTCTGTACTGCATATCACTATCAATCTCTCTGTCTCACTATTTAATTATTTACTCAAACATTTTTACTGATGTTTTGGGAAAATTCTAATCGATTTTAAAATATTACACAACTTCTAATCAAATCAGCTCACTGAATAGCACTAGAAGATGTCACTGTACAGTACTAGCAGATGTCACTGTACTGTACTAGCAGATATCACTGAACAGAAATGATGCTGCTGTTCTCTGTTAGGCATTTCTGGAGAGCTATCTGATGGCTGGGCCCACGCTGCAGTACGGGAGAGAGTGCTGGCAGACCCGGCAGTGGACGCTGGTTAGCGAGGCGTCTGTCACCAGTCCCCTCCATCAAGGCTCTGAGTTCCAGCTCAAATCGTCTGACTTCAGCTTAGTGGTCACAAGTAAAGCTATCCCTCACCTCAAACTCAGTGAGGAGTACGTCCACCCCAAGTCCCACAAGTTTGTACTACAGCTACAGTCCGAGACCTCCGTCTGATGGATTCAGTTGCTTTTGCCCATATGGTTTTCTACGCTTGTAAATTTTGGACTAGTACTATTTTGTTTTAAATTCTTTTTCACTTTTTCACAGTTTATAATATTGGATGTATTTTGATACAATATTTGTTACTGCCAAGAACAGAAGAGGAAAAAAATGTATACCTGTATTGTATGTATCCGATTACCTAGTGCTGACTGGTTTGATTGTGTGTTTGTGTTGCTTTGTATGTTACTTTTTTGCAAAGAGTAAATGCTAATTATATGTACTCTGATAAGGACCAGCCCGAGGCATAATGGATAAAGTTTAGCTTTTTGCAAGTAGATATTGTTTATCATATCTATGTTTCTGAGGCATGTATGTTTTTTCAATTGACTGAAACATAAATGAGCATCATGTTGGAATTCCATGAGATTGTGGTAAGGTCGGAAACATCAGTTAGGGAGTTGGAATTGTCAATGCCATAATAGTGGCATGAAAGCCAAACATACAAAATCATTTTCAGCCTGCTTGATTTCAACAATTGTTATTTGTTTGGATAAAACGGATAATATATTGAAGAAAACAGCCTTTCCTGTGTGATGAATAAATTGTGATTTGTAGTTTGCCTCTTTTATTGTGTGGTAATTAAATTGTTAATACGGTATTTTTACATTTAATTTATTTTTTATCGTGCGTGATGCATCATCGATAAAGCAACAACTTGTGTTTATAAAATACAACCCCATTAATGCTGCCTAACACATTTATAAACATTGCTCTTGACTGTGTTTTTGTCCAAGCTTGAAATTTCTTTGCTTATATAGCAGAAAGAAAAAAATAAACCTATCATGCCTTTTTTTCTACTACTCTAGTGATGGTTTCCAATAAGGATTATATATGATTTCTTTTGTATTTAATGATACGGGACAATTATGTTTTATATTATTTCTACATGTTATAGCTGCTAAAGCATATATTTTCCCATTGTGTATTGTCTGTTCTGTCCTATCTGATCATTCAAACCCATTTAAAACAGTTTGTCAGAAATTAGTTATGATAAAGCACAACAATCTATGCCATTACCCATTACAAATCAAAAATCAGTTTGTTTCAAATATTTCTCATCAGTGTTACATTTTTTAAGGAGAAATATCGCAGATTTATTTTCCTGATGATCCTGGTTTTATTAAAAGAGATTCTACAGAACTTCTCTGTTCCTCTCAAACAACAGTAGAAGCAAATTTTTTTCATCTGAAAGTTTAATATAAAACATATTAACAATTCTGATCCTTTTCATAGTGTCATATTTGTTGCAAATCTCAGAAGTTTTGAAATGTTCAAATTATCTTTAAAGAAGAGTCACAGAGTCAATGCTTTGCCTCATTGTGCCAATGTAAATCTAAGCCTTTAAAGGAGCCAGGAGAAAAAATACTTTGGGCAAAAATGTTTAAAACAAGTTTTCCCCTTTCAAATATACATTTCTGTGTTTTGCTCTTTGGTGTAATGAATAGTGGCCTAAGACTTACATCAAATCAAATCAAATCCTCCAAAGTTCCTGATTGTAAAACACTTCATATTGGACAAACATGTTGGGTATTTCTTACATTATATGTTCAGCAAGATAATGTTTATGATTTGTGGTGGATTCTTAGTTATTCTCACTTTCAAACTGGAATTTGTTGTTGTCTTTAGAGTTGTAACCTATATATATGTATGTATATATAAATATGGAATATTTCATGTATTAAAACTGTACTATATGTATATATATTTATTTATTTATTAGTGTATGTAGTTTACAATAATTTTTGTGTACACCTCTGCATGTGTATATGTTTTATTACTGTAATCACCATAATTTCCGCTGTGGATATAAAAATATAAAACCTTTTTGGACAGTTGAATTGCATTCAAATGGATTTTCTAGATATGTCTGAAATGGACTTTGAGACAAAAAATAAGGCAAATTAATGTTCTTATTCTAATGAATAATTGAGCAGCCCTTTCATTTGTCACATGCTGATTGTCATTGTTATGGTCAATGAACAATTGAGGCTAAGCATATTTATTTTTAGTATGCTTTTTAGACCCTGTCCTAAATATAATGTGGATCCTGCCATTTACACTAGAGCCATCTTTGTTATAAATAGCTGACTGAAACAGGCTAGTTAACAATAAATCTTTAAAGTGCATTTTATCTATAGTATTATCAGTAAGTCAACAGCAATGCTATCGTTTTAACAAACTGTCTAATCCATTAACATCCTGTCAGGTGAAACATGTTTAAGCATTTACATTTTGACATTGTTGATTTTAACTTTTTTCTGGGATCAGTGTAACCCTTGTTCCCTTTCGTAGTCACTACGAGTCACAATCGCTGTCTTACGTGTTTGGGCATAGATCACGGTAAGACAGCGTTTGTGGATGCTTTATGTTCTCACTGCAAGAACATGACCATCTCAACACTTTGGTCGAGACTCGATGACCTCCCCTCATCCACACCCCGATCTACCCCCTCCACGAGAGGTGGTACTTCGGCTGGTGGCCAGAGTGACCTGAGGGTAACAGTGTGGAATCAACTTCTTCTCCTTCTTCTCAACGAGAAGACCCCAGAAAATGCTCGATCAGTGTCGTGCTTTCCTTACTGCAAGATGGGTTGGAGCGAAGGCTGTCTACCTCCACCCTGAACTTTTATGTTGCCGCTATTGCCACACATCATGACGTAGTCGAGGGTAAGTCCATGGGAAAGCACGACCTGATCATCAGGTTCCTGGGAGGAGCGAGGAGACTGAATCCCTCTTGGGACCTCTCAGTGGTTTTAACTGCCCTGCAGAGTGCTCCCTTTGAGCCTCTGCAATCAGAGCTTAAGTTCCTGTCAATTAAGACAGCGCTCCTGGTTGCATTGACCTCCATTAAGAGGGTATGGGACCTGCAGGCATTTTCCGTTGACGAAGCGTACCTGGAATTCGGACCGGCCTATTCTCACGTGATCCTGAGACCCCGGCCTGGATATGTGCCCAAGGTTCCCACCACTCCCTTTCGAGATCAGGTGGTGAACCTGCAAGGGCTGCCCCTGGAGGAGGCAGACCCAGCCTTGGCACTGCTCTGTCCAGTACGCGCCCTCCGTGCTTACATAGACAGAACGCAGTGTTTCAGGACCTCTGACCAGCTCTTTGTCTGTTATGGTGGGAAGCTGAAGGGAAAGGCTCTCTCCAAGCAAAGGTTGTCTCACTGGATAGTGGACGCCATTAATTTGGCATACCAGCAGCAAGGTCGACCGTGCCCCCTTGGTGTGAAGGCCCGTGTAGGAGGAGTGTGGCTTCCTCTTGGGCTCTAACGCATGGCGCCTAGCTAACAGACATCTGCAGAGCTGCAGGCTGGGCGACACCCATCACATTCGCGAGATTCTACAATCACCGAGTGGAGCCAGTGTCCTCTCATGTACTCGCTTCAACCAGCCGGTACTAGAATCTGCTCAGGTGTCTTCGCTTGCTCGCCATTCCACTCCACGGACTGGATACATGCAATATTGTCCTCAGGTGAGCCTCCCCGAGAAGCCCTGAGTTCCTCCAGCGCTGTTGACATCAACGCCAGGGTTATGCCACCGACAGCTTTCGCGTTGGCTAGGTGCCGCCATGTTGATGGTTCCTCTCTGGTCGACCCCCACATGTGTATTTCCACTGTAAGCCTCTCTGAGCATGTGTCAAGCCACCTTGCCACCCCTGGGGTTGAAACCTTCCACCCTGCGGGCTGGACACCCCAGTGTTTTCCATATGCAGCCCCCTCCCGGGTCATATGTGTATTCTGTAAGTCCCCCCCACCTTCCCCACCTTCCCCCCCTTCGGGCAGGCAATAATTGCATATTTCTACTGAGATATGCTTCCCAGTGTACCTTGGTATACCTGTGTTAAGTAGGAGTCCTTCGTCCGTGCTAGTCTCACGACGGGGAGCTCAGACTTACACAGGGCACTGTAAGACAGCCGAGGTCTATTTTATCACTCCTTTGAACAGGAAGGGGGCCAGAGCAAATTACAGTGCCTGACATCGTACTTGCGAGTTCACACACCTCTTTAACATTAATTTTAGTGATCTCAGACTGGCGAAGTCGAACATCATTAGTGCCGACGTGAATAATAATCTTAGAGAATTTACAATTAGCATTAGCCAGCACTTTTAAATTTGCTTTGATGTCAGGCGCTCTGTCTCCCGGCAAACATGTGACTATGGTGGCTGGTGTCTCTATTTTCACGTTCCGTGTAATAGAATTGCCAATAACTAGGGCACATTCAACAGGATTCTCAGTGGGTGTTTCACTGAGTGGGGAGAACCGGAAACGGAACGGAAGAGCGGTGTTTTGTCCCGCGACTACAGCATCTCACGGTCAGCCAGTTGCCCTGCTCAGCCAGTTGCCCTGCTGCACGGGCTCTACAGCCGGAACCGAACAATGTACAGTGTTCACTAAGCTAGTCGCATCCAAAGCCCTTGCACTCTTACAATTAACCTCTATTAAAGTTTGGATGCGTGTCTCTAGTTCTGCAAATCTTCTCCGTCAGCCTGACTGTCTCCCTGCATTTATCACATGTAAATCCTATATTGCTGACAGAGAAGGCTATACTATACATGTGACATAAAGTGCAAGTGACAATAACAGGAGAAGACATTACTCACCGTGTTTGTTGACTGACCCTATACTTACCACAGTTATTTGATTGATTCGTAAAAGGCGCGGAATTTTTTAAATTTAAAATTGAATTTTTTTTATTTTTTAAATAAAAATAAATATATTATTTAAAAATAAAGAAAGAAAGATCGCAGGCACGGATGGCGCGCGTGCGTGCCAGAAAAAAATAAAATAAAATAAAGACAACAGGCACGAATGACGCGTTAACAGGCTAGCGAGTTACTAGCGTGTTGTGCAGGCTAGAGAAATTACTAGCGTGTTGTGCTAGTTATAACGATTTAGATAGAAGCTAGCGATGTCAGATTAATGTGTGGTGATGAGTAAGATATAATTAGCAATATAAACAACACAGAATGATAGTAAATAAAGATTCAAAACAGAAACCAATACGGAGCTAACAGACGCAAACCACTCAGCCAATTGTAGAGCACGGCGCATTGCACATTGTAGAGCACAGCGTCTTCTCGACATGATGCTATCCAGCATCCACAGGAATCAGCTGCAGTGTTTGATTTTCAAGTTTTCCCTCTGTGTCTGCGCGCGCAATAGTGGGCGGGCAATATGCTAATGTTTCGTCTTGACGTCACAACAAACTAGCTTATGACTCGTTTGAAAAACGATTCATTTAATTGACTCAGAGTCGACTATTAATTTTGAAAGACAATAACTTTATATACGGTGCACTTTCAGATTTAAAACTTTGCAGGATGTGTTCCTTCACTTAGAGCTATGTTAAACACTACATGAAAGGTCATTTTCAATAATCCATAATAGGGGCCCTTTAATCCCATAGAGAACCTGTGGTCAATCCTCAAAAGGTGAGTGGCCAAGCAGAAGCCCACAAAAAAAAAAAGGCAAGAATGGATCGCCATCAGTCAGGATTTGGCCCCGAAGCTGATATCCAGCATGCTAGAGTCAATTGCACACTGTAAAAAAATAATCCTGTAAAACAGTAAACTACTGGCAGTAGTGTGTAAGAAAAAAATATGGTGTGTTACTGTTTTTTTTAATTAACAGCTAAATACCATTTTGTCCGCTATATACTGTTAAATTAGTTTTATACTGTAGCTGACAAAACGGTATTTAGTTGTTCATTTCAAACACAGTAACACACCATATTTTTACGGTATGATGCTGGCAACCACAGCTGCCAGTAGTTTACCGTTTTTTTTACAGTGCAGAGGTCATGAAGAAAAAGGGTCAACACTGTAAATATTGACTCTGCATATATATAATATTTTTGCTAGTAAACGCCTTTAAAACTTATTAAATGCTTATCATTGTTCTCTTACGAGAGGTTCTCTCGTATTGCGTAAGTTTAGCTTACGCTACGGGTAAAGTTCATCTTTTCTCGAGATACTGAAGCCAAAATTATCCTTAATTTTGTAAACTTTGTCAACGCAGTGTAGCAGCTGCAGACCTAGAGCAGGCTGACTAGCGTGCTCATTGGCTGCCCTGCGGCAACTACAGCAGCCTACCAGTGAGCCTGGCGTGACGTCACGCCCAATGGTGACACTTCGCGCCCAGTACGTGTCACAGCCCGCTCAGGGGTGTGTGGCTTAGCGTATAAAAGCGGGGCTCGGAGGCTGCTACCCTGATTTTCATCTCTTCAGCAAAGCTCTTCGCACCGCTGGATCTGAGAGAAGCCGCCGCCGTCGAATTCAGCGACTGCAAGCAGAGGAAAGCGGGTGAGGAAGCCGGTCGACTTCTCGCCGCCTTCAGCCTTCCGTGCCAGCAACGCTATCCGGCGACATATCCTTTTCTGCTCTTACACTGTTTTACTGTGTGTGTGTGTGCTCGCCGCTGCGACACACACTTTTCTAAACGAGCGCGAGCGCTCTTGTCAGAATGCCTCGCAGTTCCTGTGGCTCGTGCCGAGCACCGCTCAGCGCCGGAGACCGCCACGTGATCTGCGCTCTCTGCCGGACCACGCAGCCCTCGCACTTTCGTCGGGCGGCTGCGTCCATTGCGTAAAACTGTCCATGTCGACCCTGAGGGCTCGTCTGGACCTCTTCAACGCCGAAGCTGTCACTCCGTCTTCTGTTGGACCGCACAAAAAGAAGCGCCGTGCTCAGAGACTGCCGGAGCCCGACGCGGAAGACAAACACTCGCCGGGACAAGTTCCCTCGAGTGCCTCTTTCGTCTTCCCCACCACCCCTCACTGACGCGCATCCAGGAGTCCGGACGGATGCGTTCGGGTGTGGACGCTGAGCTGATGCGTCT